CAAAGGAGGGGTTTGGAAAAATGAATCGTTGAGCGAATCGTTTTGAGTCGTTGAGCAAGTAAGGTAAAAAGAAATGCATATTATAAGACAATGAAAGCGTTTTTTGACCTTGCATGCATGTCAACCTGTTGTTGGGGACTCCCAAACCCAAAATATGAACCTTTCATTACCCATAATAGGGGCACTTTAAATATGTTTTTATTAAATACACATTTATATAGGTGGCATTTCAAACAATGATTATAAATATCATGTTTCTACAAATAATCCATATGTTTTATATTACAATATTTTTTTAAAGTATATTTCTTTGAATTTCATTCATTTAATTCAAATCCAGATTATAACTCTGCATCCTGCTTGCTAATTCAATTCAAATTCATGAACTTTAAAGACATTCTCAAATCAATTCTGAATGGCGCACAATCCTGACAGTTTTTTTTTTATTTTACAACCGATAGCTAAAAAACGAACAAAGCAGGTTACCTAAAATCAGTCTCCTGTTCAGTTGTCCCAACCACAAATGGGACATCGTTATAGGTTCCGTCTCCACCCTTCTCCCAGGTCTCGAACGGAGGAGCTTTGAGAACGTAGTTGTCAATTACTGCAACTGGGCCAAGAAAAACACCTTTGACTGGAAGATCGGTTAATTCATCGGCTGCAAATGCTGGGTACTGCTGCCACGGGATTGCCTGAGTCAGATACAAATCACTGACATTAATTCAACCACAGACCCATTTCTGATGTATTACTAACATTTAGAGAAATTAAACCTCATCGGCAGATTTTCATTGGGAATTCATTGAGCGTTTGGCGAGATCTGGCAGCCGGTCAAGGTTTGATGATTTATCAAAGAGAGTTTACGGACGAAGGGGCCAATAGGTTGAGGCTGTTGTTAGTCAGCCGTGACTCTGCTGCTGCCTTGCTGTGGAAGGTTACAAGCTCGGCCATACATTTCTCACCTGAAGGACTTGAGCGATGTGTAGTCCTCTCAGGCAGATGGCGTTCTTGCAGCCAGTTCTCCTCAGGAATTCTAAGTTGTCCTTTTCTGCTGACTCCAGGGAAGCATTATACACATACGAGCCACTCATGTCAATCGCGCGATGAAACAGTCCTTTGGCTAGTGGAGACATCATCAAAGTCCAAACCGAAGTTCCTCCTTATGATCACACAGGGAGAGAAATACACATTAATATATATTAATAAGACTAACCCTTGTGAAAAAGAAGTGTGCTTAATTATATTGAATGGCACTTGTAGTACATCCAGACAATATATTATCATATTAATGAAATAAAGGCCACCTAAAGCCTTGTTCAGACTGTCAGCCCAAATCCGATTATTTGTGTGTCCGACTGGAATCTGATTGAAATGTTTTACTGTGTATCGCAACTGTTCAGATTGGATTTGTGTGTCCCGTGGCGCTCTTTCATTTTACTCAACGACGTTGCATTGGTATGCCTACACTAACAGCAAAACAGTTTGCAATATAGATGTTGTCTTACAACATGACAACATGTTGCCATCGTGCTGGATTATATAACGTCTTCTGTGCTCCGCTGGTCTCAAAACTCAAAGAGGTGCACAGATCAGCTCTATATTGCCATTTTCCACTTGACTTGCACTTCACAACAACACAACCTTGTTTCTACAAAGACATGCAGTGTGTTTTCTACAAACAATGTCTGACGTGTTTGCATTTTACGTGGCATGAGTAACTGACATAGGCAAAGAAGTTACGCAAAATCCGATCTGAGCGGACAGACTGACTGAAACAGATTTTCAGAAATGCGATTTGAATAGTTTTTTTTTTTTTGCCATTCACACTTGTGAAATATGATTGGATTTTTATCGCATATATGCACAAAAATCGGATTTGGACTGACAGTCTGAACAAGGCTTAGGTGTACTTAAAGAGTGTACACTTTCATGACTATGTTTCTTAACACACTTAAGTACACTTTTAAAAAGTGCACTATGTAATAATGGCAAATTAAAGTTTTATTTTTTTAAATCATTATGTTTAAAAATCTTTGGTTACACAATATTTTACGGTGTCCTTGTTACAGTGTAATTATGCCTTTAGGTACCGAGTAATATTAATTAACTACATGTACTTACTATATGGTTAGGGGTAAGTATTAGTGTTTGGCTTAGTGTTACTTGCATGTCATTATGCATAATTTATTGTTATTATAATAGTACGTACATGTAACAAGGACACCTTAAAATAAAGTGTTACCAAATCTTTTGTTGTGTTTAAAGTACATTTATATTGATGTGTTTACAAACATACTCAAGCACATGTACTTCATTATAATTTTTACTGTAGTGATAATACATTTACATAATACAGGTATCTAATTTAAATGTCCTGTGTGCAACTACATCATTGTAAATGTGTATTTACAAATATATTTAAATACATGACATACAAGTTTCAGTACAAATGACATTAAAGTATAATTTATGTTTACCATAAATGCGTGTCAGTACATTCAGCAGTACAATTGAACCATATTTAAAAAACTATAGAATTATGAAATTACATATAAAGATGTACTTAAGCCCTACTTAAATGGGTCAAGAATAGTACTCTTAAGTTCAATTGCATTTAATACAAATTTAAACCATAATACATTTTTCATTTGTTAATAACATGTAATTAAGTGTCTAAAAACCTCACATTCAGTTCACACTTACATATATTCTTAGATAGTTCAAACTTACATAAAGTATATATATTACTTATAAATATATTACATAATAAATATATTAAAGTACATTATTTCCATAATATGTACTCTTTTTTTTTATTATATAAATGATATTATATATAAATTTTTTTCACAAGGGAAGGTTTCAGACACAAACATTAGCAAATTTATTTTGCTGGCCATATAGACAGGTTACAGCATAGCAGATGCACAGCAAATAGAGTTTTGGTGCTGATTTATGGCATACATTATTATAAAACATGTTTAGCAAATGTTTGCAGATATGGGTGTGTAAAACTCTGCAAATGAACCTTTCGGTTGATAGGTAGTGCTTTGTTTATTCTCCACGATTTGCTTGCTATTAATCTTCTTTTTTGATAACCTTAACACAATCAGTCACGTTGTCTTGTGAGGGAATGAATTATTAAGTCATGGGAACAAATTCTTAATCCATGGCTATGGTATCTTTTATGTTTTCCCCTGTATGTCATGTCTGTGGCTCTGTATCTAAATTGCCAAATACACACAAAATATGTAAAATTGTCAAAATGTCTTGAGTGAACATAACCAGTTGAGAGAAAATCAGATATATGTCAGTTAGGGGTGTAATGATACACGTATTTGTATTGAACCGTTTGGTATGAGGCTTTCGGTTCGGTACGCATTACAAACCGAACGATTCGTTGGAGTAATCCTATTACATTTGTGAAAAAAAGAGCTTAAAGTGTGTGAAATATAATGTACTCCAGGTTGTGACGGTGAGGTAGTTCGCTAGAGTTTTCCCTCTTTTCCTCGCTTGTAAATACTTGTGCGCATTTTACTTTCACTTTCGAACTAGCGGCATTTTGGCGTCAATTGATTGAATTGACAACAACAAAACAGTACGACAAACTCACTTACATTAAACATAGAATGTTTAATTTATTAACAAAACGAATACAAATACACCATGCTATAGGCCTAATATAAAATAACAAATAACTTACACAAAGTTTAAATATAAGACGCTGAAATTCAGCAAACACGGTGGAACCAAATAAATAAGAAACAAATGTTAAAAATGCTTCCAAAATCATCTGGGATAAACGGCAAAAGTCATAAAATATTTTTAAGATCATATGATACTAGTTTTAATAAATAAAACTAGTTTTAAATCAAGGAAATTTGTCTGGCATTTCTTTGTTTTTGCTGTATCGAAAAAATACGGAACCGTGTGTCGTATCGAACCGAAGCGTGGATTTTGTGAACCGTTACACCCCTAATGTCAGTATATTGCACCTGTGCATTAGGTCTTAAAGTGACAGCAGAATAACATACCTGCTGCTATCTGTGCCATTAATGTGAATCAAACAGCTCACTATTCTTGACTGAATAACCTTTTTGTAGCTTTAATAAGAATAACTGCGTATTTAATTCATACAGTGAAGACTGCAATGTTCCCTCCTAAGCTGCGCGCGTGTGCGGCTGCTCACTTCTTATGTTGGGACCGTGTAGAATAAATAATATGCCACACACAGGACAGACACAAAAATTAGTTGGGAAAGCCATTTGATCGAATTCTACCCCGCGTCCCAATGTTCATACTATCCATCCTAAATAGTATGTGAATAAGTGTGTCCCAAAGCATAGCATGTTGAAAAGAGTATGCCAAAAGTCCACGGATGGTCTACCGTTTCAGATAGATTTTTGAAGTGTGGATCCGTGCACACTCTAATGGCGCCCACAATCCATTGTGATGTCACACAATGGTGAAACAGAAGAGAAAATTTCATGGAGTTTGATTTTAGTATAATGTAAGCGATGAATGACCTTGAATTGTATCAACTGATGTCTGCTGTTGACTAAATGACTAAATAAATAAAAATAAATAAACATAAAGGTCCTTAATAGAACTTCTTCTCCTTTCAAACAAAATAGGTTTTGTCAGACCATAGGGGTTAAAAAGAATGATTGTATTGTATACACAGAGGTCTCTGGCAGGGACAGGACTTTTCTTATACTTGATTTAAAATTTTGATTGAATTTTTCAACACAAAACTTAGCTTATTCACTAATGCTAATGCTAGTTAATAAGGTCCCAGCCAGGCTTGTCTCCATTTGCACCCATAAGGGAAAATCAGGGGTCAGATTTCCCGGTGCTCTCTTCTCCCAGTATATTAAAGCCTTAACATTGGTAGCCCAGTAATAGTGTTTAAATACTGGCAGACCCAGACCACCCACAGACCTGGGCTTTTGTAGATGAATTTTAGATATCTGATGCTCCAAACATAAGACAAAATTATAGAATCCAGTTCCTTAAAAAAGGCAGACATAAGAAAAATTTGAGGATTTTGACAAACATCTAGAATCTAGGAAGAGAAACCACTTGTACTGAGTTTATACGTCTGATCATAGATAAAGGCAAGATTTTCCAATTCTCTTTATTACATTCGAGTTTTGAAAGAAACTTGACAGACAAAATTCAACTTAATTTTGGGCCTTTAATTGTCAGTCTGAGATATACAAAGTGGTCCCTAACTATTTTGAATGGAATATTTTCCAAAAAGTCAGGTATTTGAGTACATCAATTATTCAGCCTCATATTATTCTAATCCTGTATGAAAGAAAAAAAAGATAAATGTCTGGTTTTTTTTGTCCATACAATAGAAGTCAATGGTAACCAAAATGGTTCTGTTACAAACATTCTTCAAAATATCATATTTGTAGCATCCTAGCTCAAAATCAGTACATTGTTGTCAAATGTCCATTTCTGTGAGACACAATGCAATATTGACATTGTTAACTGCATTTGCAGTATATTCAATAATATATATTGTTATTGGTTTCTGTCCTATTTTATTTATGAATTTATTTAATTAAATTTAAGGCCTTGACCCCACCAAAACATTCAATGTGGGCAATGGACTAGATTTGTCCAAGGTCGAATGATACTAAGCGGAACGCGGAAAATAAAATACAGGCTGCCCAAAAAAAAAACCCAATGTAGTACCCAAACACACTTTTGGCTTTGGCTCAAGTACACTTCCTCATTCCATGTCCCGCTTATGCTCCCAAGTAGGTATAAGTATCCTGAGCGAATATGTCTGAGCTTTATTTTCAGACTCAGCCAGAAGCCAGAAGCCAAAAACCTCAACAGTGCTTGCCAGCTTGGAGGAGAGAAGACAAGAAACAAACGTAAGAGTTGTTGCACCACAAAAATTACATTTTAAAATATACGTAGCCTATATGCTTTTAGTAAGCAGTCTTTCACAGAAACATGGAACCAATAACATTAATTTCAGCTTTGAGTGTAATTGTGAAGAACTTTTCTCAATGTGTTTGCAGACTATGGTTCTTACATCAATGTTTTTAGGGATCCTTTTCAATCTCTCACTGAATTTATGGCTCTGTGAGGCTGCAAGTGTGATCATTTGTAAGTCATATATGTAAACATTTGTTTGGA